CGCCGAAATGATCCCTGTAGACGATGCTGATAATCACTCACTCCGGGTCGAGGCACACCCCTCAACCCGTGATCCAAGTTCGTCCATTTTACTGGTTAAAAAAATTCCGGGGAGCGTCCTTTTTGTGGGGGAGAAATTCCCCCCCCCCCCCCCCCCCCCCACCCCCCACGACAACCACTGTGCAATGGCGGCGGCAGGTATTTCTTTTTATCGCCTGGCGAGGATGACGAGGCGCGGGAGATATGGGGAGATGTGGGGAGATATGGGGCGCCTGGCGAGGATGACGAGGCGCGGGAGAGGCCGACGGACGAGGTGGCGCCCAAGCTCGGGTCGGCGGAGAGCGCGCCTAGGCAGGAGACGCGGCGTGCCGCCGAGTCCTCAGAGGCACCGCGCGAAGACGAGGGGGGGGGCGCTAGTTGGACTCCCCAACGACCCACGTCTTCCGCTTCTAGGGGAACGCGCCGCCTGCCGCGGCGGCGGCATCGGCGGCGGCGGCGGCCGCCGCCAGCATCGACGCGTCCGCCGCCGAGACTGCGGCGGCGGCGGCGGCGGCGGCCGCAGCGGGAGCAGCCGAGGAGGGCGGAGGCGTGCCGGACTGCTGCTGCGCGGGCGGGGGCGCGATGGGGCGCAGCAGCTTGGTGGGCGGCGACGTCGACCTCGGGGAAGTGGTCGAGGGTTGGTGTGCCGCTGCCGGCGCGCGTGGGGAGGAGGCCCTGGCCGCCGCCCGCGCCGCCGCCCTGCCCTTGGGCGACGACTTCGGCGAGCCCGACGCCGGCCTTGGAGTCATCGAGCGCGAACCGCGCGGCGCCTGGGCGAGATCTCGCCGAGATCCGGCCGTGATCTCGCCGAGATCTCGCCGAGAGATGAGCGGCGCCTGGCCGTCCGACGAAGCCGACCGCTTCCCCTCGCGGCGCGCGCCCGCGGGTGGAAAGACGGCGGTCCCGTCCGGGTCGAGCACGGGCTGAAGCACGAGGTAGGCGCCTCTGCGCGGGCCGACGGCGTAGGAGTGGCCGGGCGGGGCGGTGGGGAGGAGGACGCCCTTGGGCTTGAGGGCCAGGCCGCACGCGGGCCGAGACTTTGTCAGACCCTCCAGCGTGAGGGCCGACTGGCGCTGCGACGTGAACGCCGCCGGACCGAGCTGAACCGGCGTCGCCGACGCCACGGGCGGCAGACGCAGCTGCGGCAGCTTCGGCGCCGAGCGCGCCAGGTGCGGCATTGGCGGCTGCCCGCCGATGAACGGGCCCAACCAGTGGATCTGCCCGGCCTGGCTCCAGTGCTGCAGCATCTGCTGCTGCTGCTGCTGCAGCGCCTGCAGCTGCAGCGCCCGCTGCTGCGACCCCGCCGGGCCCGCCGGCGGCTGGCCCGACTGCCCCTGCAGCTGCATCAGCATCATCGTCTGATGCGCTTGCTGCTGCTGCGGCGGCCCCATCGCCCCCCACCCCGCCCCAACCGGCATCCCACCAGCCATGCCCGGCGCGGGCCCCGGCGCGGGCATGGGCGCGGGCATGGGCGCGGCGGGCGCGGCGGGCGGCGGCGGCGGCCGCGGCGGCGGCGGCGGCGGCGGCGGCCGAAGCTCGACGCGGGGCAAGCTGCGCAGAGAGAGCGACACGGCAGAGAAGAGCAGCGGAGGCGGCGGCGCGGCGCTGCTTGGCTGCTGGCCGTCGCCGCCCTCTGTCGCAAGGGCGCGCGCGGAGCTGGGAGGCGCCGCAGCGCCGCCAGAGGGCGCGGGACCAGCCGCCACGTGGCCAACCTACGTGCTGGAGTGCGCCACCCTCGGGGCGGAAGGGGGGGCGGGACAACGGGTCTTCGGCAGAGCCGTCACAGCACTGCGGGAAGGCGAGGGAGGGGCGGTAGAGGACAGCGAACGCGGCGGAAGGCCGGCCGAAGGCAGGCTGCTCGAGCTGGTCGAGCACGCCGACGCCCAGGAAGACCTTCGTCTTCCCGATCCGAAACTCCTTGTCCGAGACGCCCGCGCTCGAGAGCAGCGCGCGCACGCCGTCGGCGCCCTTCTTG